ACCCGCCACCCCACCACCTCCCGCCGAGGGGCCTCCAAAAAGACAAAAAAATCGCACTCCTCAGCCCCCGCGATCGCCATCTGGCCTTGAACTTGACAGAGGTAACGATGAGGGATGCCGAACGGCGCGGCGTCCGCCCGACCCCCACTGAAAAGTGCGCGAAAAGGGGATTTGATCTCGAGCAGCCGCATTCGACGACGGAGGGCGCCACGCGGGGAGGGCTCGTGGCGGGATCGCTTCGGCGACCCCATACAAGGAAGAAAAAAAGGGGGAGAGGGCGACGCGGGAAAGGCCTCATCCTCGGGAGATGAAAACGTCCCCCATGCGTCCTCTTGGCTGCATAAATTAACCGCCTCTTCGATAGGAGGGGAAGAATCGAGGTTCTCCTTCTCTCGAGGGGATCCCACAGGCTCCCAGTAAAAAACACGCCCATCCGGCGAGCAAGCAAGAAGTTTATCCTCCGTTATGAAGAAGCCACCATCATGCACCCTTTGCCCGGTCAACAACTCGTATAGGGCTCTCGCTTTAGGCTCCGTGCGGATGCCGTGTTCGGTGCATTCGTTTCCACAAAACTCCTGCGACGTCCCGACAATATTTCGTAAGTAGTCTAGATAGTCCGAGACGCATCCACAGTAGCCAAGAGCCATGCCGAATTGGGAAGCCGAGATACCATATGGGGAGGTGCGCTTCCATCGAGACTTGGCGGCCTGCTGCTGCATCTAAAGTCCACCAGTCATGAAGATAAGGAAGATATAATTCGATATGCGAGTAGACGGGAAAATACTATGGTAAACTTATCATGTACTGGTCGATCAATCTATAGGCAGATTACTAAAAATAGGGTTCTATGTTTACTTTAGGCCTCCAAGTGAGGAAAAAGGCCCAGAAAGGATTGTAATTTTAACCGGTGTAGAAACTCGCAGAAAAAAACATTTAAAGAATAAAAAAAGAAATACACGATTGATTCGATCCCGAAACTTGACGCATTCGATCCTGTCAAAATCGCTCTCTTTGGTTTCTACATGCACGCTAAAATTTTTCAAGCAGGATAATCACAATTGAAAACCAATACTTCCTTAATACCCCTCCTTCCTCTAAAGGCGATAGGACAGAAAAGGGAACTTGCTGCTTTTTCAATGGAGAAAAGTAAAAATAGTAAAATCCTTAATAAAAGTGCTAAAGCCTATAACCCCTTGCGTGGATCCCCACGTTATGTTTCTTCTCTCCTTTTTTAATAGTAGTAGCTAATCTACCCTTGTACCGTATCCACCATATAATGCTTTACTTTCTTGTCTACCGACCGGAAAATTCATATATGTCATTTCACCTCTGCATTTATACTGACCGAAGGATGAACCTGGCATGGGATCTTAATCCTCTTTACTATCCACAAAATGCCAATGCCGGCTTCATTTTTGACGAAGAAAACAAGCTAATCACAGAAGCTTAGATGAAAGCGTCATCATCATTAACGAACAAAAAGCGGAATCATCAAACCGTCTGCATAGGAATCCTCTCCCGTACATATACACTCTCCATATATATATATATATAGATGTGTGTGTGTGTGTTTATATATGCTACACCCGCATCCTGTGCATGATGTAAATCGTATTCAAGGCAAGAAAGACATTTCTATAGTTTTCGACACAAAAAAGAGTGAAATATATGTAGCATTGTAACTCAGATTGTTGTTGCTATGCTAGTCATATGAAGCAAGGAATTTTAACAGGAGCCAAGGTGTGCTTGCAAGACACTATAACCCTTTATAATAGCTTAAAAAGCACTAGAACGTCTTAAGATATATCATTGGGTGACCTATAGCAGATTTTCCTATTTTGTACTAGTTTTAATGATCAGAAAGTGTGAAAAAAGGAAAAAGATGAAATAAGTGACACTCAGAATACCCTTTTCATCCTCGCGTCTGACACTCTCATTTATGAAGAAAATTCACAGCTGAAGATTATCCCAACTGTATACCTTCCTTGAGAAGTGTTCTAGTCGCTTCCTATAATTTTCAGAGAAACAAAAATATTAGTAGCTGGATGCGCTTTTCCTCCTAATTATCTGCGTAACAAAAATAAAAAATATAAAAAACTAAGCGATCGATAGATAGGTAGCTATCCTTTTTTCCCAAAATCCAAGAAAATATTTCTATTAGTATTTTCTCTTTTTCGTTTCCTTTGGGTGAACAGTTTCTGTTATGGAAGCAAAAATCTAAAGTGGGTTGATCTGAAGGAACCATAGTGCATCTAAAAAGCCGAAAGATAGTGAATAAGAAGTAAAACCTCTTGTGATGCAGGAGATAGAATACAAATAGTTTGGCCTGCAAAAAAGAGAATTCACATTAAATCACGGTGATATTATATAAAATAACTAATTAAAGCTTCAGAAATTCGGACAAAAAGCATCTGCTCGTAAAGCGAAACTTTTAAAATATTTTTCATGTATTTTTTTTGCGAAATCCAGTCTCCCCATAATGTGTTTCTCTGACTTGAGGGGGAAAGTGGGTGTAAGAATATCATTGTTTGCTTCGACCGAAAATCATCAGTAATTTTCAAAAAATTAAAACGTGAAGCATCATATAATGACGAATTTTGTTTACTATAGCATCAATTGACAAGGTGCGCACAGAAAAAAGATGAAAGACTTAAGGATTTCTGCCCTTACAAGTCAATGAAAATAGCTTGTATAGATAAACAAATATTCGGCAAGGGCAGGAAAAGGTAGATTAGAGGGTTGTGTGGATACGTGCTCGAGGAAAAGAAGATATCAAATAAGCAGATAATAAGATACCCATTTCCTGTCTATGAATACGCCCTTCCAGATAGCTAAGCGTTTTTTGTAGCGCTGTCACTATTTCCTGGGAAGAACTTTTGTTTAAAAATTTAATGAGGAGGGAGTCGCAATCCGCTGCATTGGAATTGAATCTTATCACTTTTTGATATGGCACCCTCTGGGATCACATTCTTCACCCCGTTGTTGACATTCTCCATCCAAATCCGAGCATTAAAGATTCGGAACAACTCCCGGTTGAGGTCCCGAAAATCGATGGATCGGTCGGCCTCGAAGTAGAAGCTGATTTTCGTCCCATCGAACTGGTACTCGCAGTCGACGACGGTCATCTCCAGCCCAAGCTTCAGCACCAGCTCGCGGCAGGTCTTGAGCGCCAGTCGCTCCTTGCTCGCCTGGTCGCCGTAGAGCTGATGCACCTCCTCGGTGGTGGCCTCTCGCATCACGGGGACAACCTCGCCGCGCATCCGGGTGAGGGGGAGGGGGCTCGCCTCCATCGTCCGCAGCGTCGCGGCGTCGAAGCCGTCCATCGCGGGGTCCCACACCCCGCACTGCACGACGAGCCCGCAGTCGTAGCCGCGGTCGCCCGGGACGATGACGTAGGTGCCGGGATCCAGAAGCCGCTCCGAGACGCACCGCTTCATGCGCTGCCGCTTGAACTCCACGATGGCAACCCAACAGCGCTCCTTCGGCGGCCAGGAAAGGCGGCCGAGGGAAAATTTGCCCGCAGAGACGGGACGCCGCCGAAGAGGGGGGCTCCCCGCCGCCGTTCGGTTCGATCCGAAGAGGGAAAGCCGCATCGTGTCGGGCTGCGGGGCTGTGGGGAGCTGAACGGAGGGCGGCCTCACCAGTTGCGAGTCCTGCGGCTCTGGAGGCGCGAAGATCGAGGACGGGCGATCCACCGAACCCGCCTCGGTTGAGATCAGGTCCTCGGCTGACTTTTCGCCGCCGGAGCCATGATGTGGCAGCTCTTTTTGGGTCCCAAACTGATCATGAATGGCATGGAGTGCACGGGTCTGACCAAACAGAGATTCCACTTCTTGAATTTTCTGCTTCACAGTCTCTAACTCCGTTTTAGACATGGACTCGTGCATAGCCATCCAGGCTGACATGCCCCGAAACAGCCGTAAAAGGCACTCGTGAATCCTCTTCAATTCGGTTGATGCTTCCTCTGGAGGAATGGGAATTACGACAGTCTTTTCCTTTACCACAATGTGAGGCTGCGCTAGGGGCAACACGAACAGTGAGGAATCTGGAATAGTCTTTTCTGGCTTCTCTCGTTGACTAGGTGATGCTGAATGCCGTGTCACGGCGTTTAGATGGCTGTTTGTGACGTCTTTTAGTATGGAACTCATTTGATGACCCAATTGGTATGAATATCAGCCTTTTCAGTTTGATTCGTTTATATCTATAATATATACATATATATATATATATATATATATGTAATAGACGTATATGTAAATATGTATTATGTGTCTTTATGGGATCAGAAGGGTAAAATAACAAACGTAGTATGTTTACTTGATTCTATTATTATGCTATTACCTGGTGTAAGATAGTTAAGAAAGAAAAAAGGGGTTGACTATCACATAAAGATGAAGTCAAAAGTAGAACTGATCAAATTGTGCGTTAGCACACAGAGTGACACCATGCCCTCAAAGCGAATCTTCTCATTCATCGCAACAATATACACATTGTGCTGTAGGGCTATAAAGTCGTATTAGAGATTCGTTCACTCACGCCTAAAATAAAGAAAGTATCTTTATAAGTCAGAAGATATTTCTCATCGTTCTATATTAAATGAATATTGGTGCACCCGTATATCTACAGTATGACGGCTCACGCCACCTAGTCTGCATCCAATTTACTCAGATAATTAGGTTGAAGCCTTTCGTCTGAATCCTTTGGTGCGTACCCGATCCAGAAAACTAACAGCCGCTCGAACACTGATGAAATAGCAGCATCCGCCCTTTCTCGATTTGCTAAAGAGATCTGCAAAGGCATTCGATAAACCTTGACACGAGGAAGGATGGCTTTTATTTCAATAAAGGGCTTAGCAGAAGTATTAGATAATACCTCATAACTCTTTGCCGATACCCCTAATTCTGCTGAATCAAGACGAGAAAAGGATCTAAAACTTTCATTCGATAAGTCCAAACCAGAAAGCTCACAAAGACGTTCCAACAACAACTCTACCGAAAGGGTGGCAGTAGAGAAGGGCGAAGCAATACCTGGAAATGAGCGTCCAATTTGCGGACCCAACTCTTCACTCCAAAATCGCTCCGCCGCCCGCCCACTAGGGCTCAAGAGCTCCGTGAGAAATTCCTCCACGACGGCACGGGCACACTCCGGCGTCAGTGCCCTACTTAAGCGACATGCCAAAAGCTTCGCTGCCGCCCTCGAAACCATTTCCACCTCTAAGTAGGGCCCCATAACAGGGCGAGATGCCTGTGGCAGTCGATTGTACACGAAGCCTAAATACCGCAGGTTGAGGCCGTTAGCATGTGTAAGTGCTGCTATCGAGGGCACCAGTTCCAGTGCGTCAGCACTCCGTGCCACCCCGCCGCATCGCACAGCATCTGAAAAGTTGACGTGATCGGTTATCATGCATAAATTATGATGCTCATACTTACCTCTACCTGATAAGCATGCATTACTCTCTTTCCAGTTGGAAAGGCTGTCTAATCCAGCTAACATGCGCACCGTATAACAATGCGTGCAGATATAGCAGCACCGATTCTCATGGCGACACACCACGAGCCGTAACTCGTTTTCCAAACACCTTCCGCAGAGACGGCATTCCTGAACGGGAAGCAGAGGGAGTTCAACGGGCAACATGAGACCCAGCATCCCCGCGACTGTCGAGATGCCATCCGTTTGGACGAAGTCACTCAGCTCCCGCAAGCGCTCGACATCCTGTGCGGTGCACGCACCTTCGACAAACCAGTCCGGATTAACTGGTTGCGGCCAACGAAGAAGCAGCTCTGCACGAACGCGCTGTGCAGCCACGTGCCAGAGTATAGAAAGCGCGTTCCCCGGCTGAGGTTCCTTGCTGTGTGCAGAGCAAGAGGTGGATTCTCTTAGTAAAGATAAAGAAACAGGAAAGCTACATGGCAACACACGGGACCCGTTCAGAAGATAAAGACGCCGATCTTTGCCAGTGTATAGCTCAATATCCACTGGAAGTGTCACCTCCGACGTGCTGATGCTACAGCTGCTCGGCGATACGCTAGTAGAAATAGCGGAAGCATCCCCATGCCGAGCCGATTCCTGCACTACGTGTGGACTCAGGTTGAGTGACATGGCAAGTCGTTTTAATAATGTATCGAGAAGTTCAACCTTTTCCACGCACGAGCCACCTCGTAATGCCGCGTAAACACAGTTGGTGGAACTAAGCGGCGGGATGGCACATACAAGCAGCTTGTAACCTTCGAACTCAGCCAATGCATACAAAGGAATACTTAGTAAGCAAAGGCTAGACGCCGCCCCGAGAGACAGGTACTCGTAACTCTGGAAAGCGTTTTTTGCAGCCTTATGTGCATTTGACTCACCACCGTACGACGATTGTGGAGTGTCAGTGCACACCCTTATGCACAAATCCTCATAATAAAATACGTTGATGTGAACGGGATGTCGACGAAGACAACGAGACTCTTGAGGTCTCTCAATATCCCTTATAAATTCCACAGCTACACCCTCGACTGCCACATGGAATTCCGAGAGCAGTCGCTCAAGACGATCCCGTGCTGGCCCCCATAGCTCATCCAAATCATCCGAGGGGATGCCTCTTCCATCGCACTTCTTGCGCAAAGGCTCGTACAAGAGAGCCTCAATCGCCTCCTGGTAGCGGAAATTCCAATGCCGAACAACGTCATCGGTGGAGAACATCGCCAAGACATCCCAATAATAGTCAATCAACTCCACATCAGAGGGAACTCCGTCCACCTTCCCCGCCGCCCAACGTCTTAGTTCGGCAAGATACACACCAACCCCCTTCATTTCCTCCCCTGCCAGCGGGGGATCCTGGACCGGTAAATGCGGTCGCATGCCGGGTGAGGACTCGTCAGACGCCGGGCGGTCGTCCTTCACCCGTTGCCACGTGGAGGTGGTCTCAGGTGGCGAGAGCTGTGGCTCTGATGAAGGATGATTGAGGGAAACCCACGCCAGCGAGCCATCCTCAATGGTAGGCGTGCTCAACCACCAGCTGTTGAAAGGGTCTAGATACCGATCCGTTTCCAGGATTACCGTGCCCTCCTCGACCTCGCCTACAATCTCACCAAGCGGGCCCGCGTAGAGATACGTCGGTCTCGACGCTTTCCAAAAAATTGGAGCACGGCTACGAGGTGAAGCGGTTGTGGATGAATCCTGGCGTGTCTTTCTAAGCTTTACCAACGGCCATTGAGCCTGGTGAGGAATGGTGACCATAACGGAGGGCTTGGTACCAGATGCATTGCCCGTTTGGGGGGTCCTAGAGCTCACTATATCAGCTTGGCTTCGTACTGTCAGGTTTACACTCAATTTTTGTGTCATACGGATCTCTCCAGGAGTAGCAGATTTGGGTTTGAATGCCATCCTACCTTGAAAAATAATTTACTAAACACAAAGGAAATAATCAATTACGAGAAAAGCCAAAAGAGTAGATAATCAAAAAACAGTAGATAATCACATGGCAGAGAGAGAAATACACGTGGTTGACAAAAAATATGTCAATGCAATCCTATAAAGGTAGAATAGAATCAGCATCAATAAATAAAAATAATCCTTCCCGTTTTAAATTGATAACACTCATTTGCTTCATATATATATACATTATGACTACATAAGGAGAGACCCGAACAAAGTGTGTTCCAATTTTCCCATTAGCCCATTTTTACCACAAAATACGCTTTACAATTTCGATAAAACATTAGTCGAAGCCACAAAAATAAGTGTTTTCTGCCCCAGTGCCTCGCAAGTCACATCACCGTAGGGGACTGCAAAGCAGTCGCCAGCCTTAACCTTTAACCCGTTAAGTATTGCCTCACCTTCTAGGCAAAAACCGAGACCAATGGTTGGGATCTTAATGCTTACTCTCCCGCTTGCTTCGTTACGTAAATTTTGAAGACGATAGAGTGAAAAGTCTGGGAAATGGCTGGGTGGATTGTACATTTGTATTTGCCAGCCGTTGGAGTCCTCTTCAGAGTTACGCTCGTGCATTGCTGAATCAAGTCCTGACGTATCATATCGTAGCATCTCGATCAATAACTTAACATCCTTCCACTTCGGGGTCAACCCAGCACGAACGACGTTGTCGCTGCACGCCATAATCTCAACCCCATCCCCGCTGAGATATGCGTGGGGCTCACTGTCTGACAAAAATAGGGCTTGTCCCGGCTGCAGATGAACATAATTAAGAAAGTACACCATCCAGCAACCGACGTCATCCATATATTGTCCATATAAACGAACGAAAAGGTCATCCTCAACACATCGCTCGGAAGGTTTGGAGGACTGAAGATGGTTGAGGTGAGTACGCAGCGCCCGCACAATATCTTCCTCATTTGCCTCGTAGAGATTTATCATTAAGCTCTTGAGAATCACTTTCTCCTCATTACTGCCTTGCTCAGGTAGTTTTATCGAGGAGTCGGCATATGAACGAATCACTTTGTCGGCAGAGACCAGTTTTCCTAAAGCGGGAATCCTCCGCAAGAAGTGAACAACTTCTTTGAGTCGACGGAAGCAGCAAAGTGCCTCAAAAGGTGTTAAAGCACATACAAGCTCTGGCTTATGGTTGGGATCCTTGTACTTATCTGGCGAACTCGAGTGGAGTTTCTCTGCAAGTGATTTATTGGGGTGGGCCTGGATGGACAAAGCTTTCTTAATGGATAGTATTTTAAGCAGAAAAGGTATTGTCCCACGAAATTTTGAGGCCTCATGTTCAGGGGAAAAGTACGTTTGTCGGTTGTTATCCTCTTTCAGGAAAAAGGTGAGTGGCAAATTGCTGCCATCTGCAAGTCGTGATGGGAAATTAGGGTGAGTACCCACCCACAGCTCAGCGTAGGGTTTACCGGATTTATCAGATGAAAGTCCTTTCATTTTCGCAACAAAGCTCTCGGAGGCTTCTTTTCCCCATTCATAGTTTTGGACTCCCGCGTCCAGTAAAATAATAGAAGACATAGTAGTAGTAAATATTACTTTGATGAGGTTGTAAAATATTAACAGACCTTACGTGTATATTTGAAAACGCACAAACAGCACTGAAAAAAAGGGTAAGAGAGTTTGGAGAAACATGAGAAAAACAACATTTTCAGGATTGAAGGGTTAAAGTTGGTGCTTAAGTAAGTTAATACAAGATGTTTTTAATTTTTAAAAAAATGAAACTAACCTTCCCCTATCCCTTTTGCATTTAAGATAATATTTGAGGTGCAGTAATTTTCTCAATGTCATTTAAATATATAACTAGGTGGGAAACCGTAAGAAAGGCTTAGATGTGCTCCATATAATTTAGTTAAGCCCAAAAATTACAATAAATCATAGTAAAATCATAAAAAAAGATGTGTCCTTGTCGATTATCAGATCATCTCATTTTTTTTCGTAAAAATCAATAAGGTTATAACGAAAATGACTATCACAATCACAAAGTAGTAGTAAAAGGTTAAAAAAACAGAAATATTTGATAAGACAAATATAGATAACACTCATAGCGAGAAAAAATTCCACAAACTCCATGCAACAAAAGTTTATAAAATGCAGAAGTCGTTTATATATGAATTTGAAAAAACTAGACCCATATTAAAGATATTGCAACTATATAATAGACTAACAAAAAAAATTAACAAAATTGGAACACCAAAATTATAGAAGCATAAATAAAAGTGTAAAGTAGTAAAAAAACAATACAATCATAAGTACGTAAGAAAAAGTCGACAAAGCAATTCAAAAAATACATAGTCAATCATAGTAAATTTAAAGATAAAAAAAGGAATTTTATATTCTCAAACAACGGGTACCTGAAAGCATCCGGAAATTATGTACGTCAAGAGAATCCTGACGCCTCCGGAACGCTTCGGCATACGATTATCCCGGTGACGCCCCAACAGGCCCCCACGTATCCCGAGGATACAGACCGTTCTCATCATGCCCTTCAAATAAGAGATATACGGATACAGTGCATGACACATGTGCGTTTGGGCCGTAAAAAAACAAACAAAGTGGTCCAGCAAGAATATATTTATTTTTGCATCCTCATAATAAATGGAACCAGAAAATCTTAAGAAATCATGAAAAAAAGTACGTTTATAAATTAGTATCTATCGGGCGCTCAGGGAGGTGCTGACACGGCTAGAGCTCACCGCCCACCTTTGCTCGCACGCACCTTACTTCCTCAAGAAGAAACAAAGAAAGCAATTTAGAAGCCCACCCGCACAGGCGGCCGCAGCGAGGATGAATCCTGGCCCGAGGTAAGACTTCTCTACTCCTGGATGAAGATTTTTGATTGAGGCGCACCATTCACTACCATTTGGCCCATAGGAATTGTAAAACGAATCCAGAACGATCGACCACACCACTAACGCACCTACTGCCCCGATAAAATCGAGGATAATGCACCCCTTTTCGATGCCACGACAGCAGCAACCGAGAATACTGAAAATAAAGGAAAGTAGGTACATTATGATCGCAATTAATGCGCATGCCTCTGCCCCCTGAAACCGATGAACACGGTCAGGGCAATCCGCCCATAGGTCCTTCATAGCAACAAAATTATCTATTTTATAACATTTAGGAGAGAGACCCCACAGAGTGATGCAGAAGTCAAGGAGCTCCCCATCTTTCTGGAAGTGGTAGAGAGGAAGAGGGGTAGCGACCACCATTAACGCAAGCACAATAAAGTGTAATATGATTATTAAAGCATCGCAGCAACGACGGAAAGCCATTTCTGTGTGAACAGATAGATATCCTTGTTTGGTTATGCTAGCGAAGAAGTGAAATTGTTGTGGGAATAATCAAAAAGCGCGGGGTTGATGATCTTGTTGCGAATATGAGCAACCGGATCAATGCAGGAATTCGATCTGAAACTGTTCCTTCGGAAATAGCTAAGGACAAGCGAGGGAAGTAGCTTGTGTAAGCGTTGGATAAGACTATCAGAGTAAGAGAAAGATAAAGAGCAATCGAAAATGCATGAGGTGATACAAGGTACATAAGTAGAGTGAATGCCAGGAGTTACAGTCATTGTTAACTAATCTACAATTCAGTGCATATGTAATCCTGATAAACGTATTCAAGAGGTTAAAACAAGAAAATATGCTTAATGATTTCAATGTATGTTAAATTTATGAATGTTCCTATCAACAGATACCCAAATTTGCGTAAGTATGAGTACATACGCATATTATGTGTATAACAT